AATATGGATAGGTTAGTTTTCACAGTTAATATAATTGCAAGTAAGAATAAAGATAAGAGAGAGAGACACGCAAACTTTAACGAGGTTCGAAGGTGGGGTAATCCTTCTACGTCCTCAAAATCCACTATGTAGTTGGTTGTTGAATAATGAACCAACAGTTACACTTGTGTGAATTTCTGCACGGTATATCTTCACAAGACCAATGTTGATACTGCACTCGTGCTAGCTTTGTTGTTCCTTCGAAGGTCAAGCTTCTTCAACAACTGCAAGATCCGAATAATAGGACTTGCAAGATCAACTTGTAAGAGAGTTGACCTACCCCCTTTTAATCAATAAGTTTGATCAAAAGTAATATCCTTCAACGTGGTGTGGTGCTTGAGGCAAGGAAACCTTCAAGTGTTTACACTATAGCTTTTTGGAAGGAGGAGAAGTTTGCTTCTGAATAAGGAGTTTAGAAATCTCTCTTTATCAAGCTTTTTGGGCTAACTGTGAATGAGATAGCTTTAGACTAACGAAGCAACACAACAACATAGTTGCATAGAGTAGCACAAGAGAAGTCAGAAGGTTCCTACGATAAATATCGACCTAACCTATTAGATAGGCAACTTAGTATTATCTAATAGGCAACGTAAACGACCGAACAATTTTGAATGAAGATTGTGATTTGAAGATTCTTCATTGAAGTGGGTGGTTTGGACGTACCCAATTGTTGAGAAAGGATTCCTTCTTCCACAGAATCTGTCTTTTAGCCGTTGTTCAAGAATTCAAGACTGTAGCACTTTACTCTGTTTGTCTTCTAGTGCTTGTTTAGGAATTCTGGACAGGTTCTTCAATTTTTGGAGGTTCAGACTTTGTCTTCGAGTCATTTGTTTTTGAATCAGCATAATTATCTTCAATCTAGCCGTTGAAAATCAAGAGATTGATTTTTCCTTACTAACGGGTAGAATTTCTTCATTCAAGACTTAGATAATTATCTAAGTCCTTTCTCACTTGTCCGTTTTCTGAGAATTCCGATCTTCCTTGAGGCATCCGGTTCTTCGCTGACAAATCCGGAGAAGTCATTCTCAGACTTCTGGGTGAGAGAGAGATCCGCGCTAGTCTTCCGATTTGGATGACTTAGCCTTCAGCGGGTTGTAGCGAGACATCCGGTTCTTATGTAGTCTTCCGGATCTGAGGATTTTCATCTGATTGAGAAATCCTTACTTGTCTCTGACATTTCCGATCAAGATATCCAATTTCCATATCACTAAATTTGATTAAGTCTTCAGGCATCAAAACGCTTAAAGAAATATCACAGCTTTATTGGAAATCTCAAGAGCTCGGTTTTGACAATATTTCTAAAAAGAAAAATTACATTGAATATTGGGGGAGACCTAAAGTCCCTAATACATTCTAAATACATCATCATCAAAATCTATAATATTTTTCCCAACAATTCCCATCAAGGTATTCCACCGCTCTTTGGAAAATGATTCCTGCTCTCCATTGCCTCATGTTCGTGCAGTGTGGGCACTCGGTCCTTTTTTTTCGATCAGTTCTACCGTATCAGTAGTGGTACTTTCTTTTCTTTCAAGATTCCCATCAAGGTATTCCACTGCTCTTTGGAAAATGATTCCTGCTCTCCATTGCCTCATCTTCGTGCAGTGTGGGCACTCGGTCCTTTTTTTCGGTCAGTTCTACCGTATCAGTTTCGTCGGCTGTTGCCTCTTCCTTGGGTCTGCCTTCCTCGACCACGCCCTGCTCCTCCTTCACCACGACCTCTTCCGTGGACAGGGGGATATATTCGGGGCCGGTCACCCAACCATTCCGGGAACCCAATGATATGAAAGCATCCATCTATCTCATGTCCAGTCTGGCCACAGTTCCTGCACTTCAAATCCTTGGTCACTTCTCTATTATGAATTACCGCGAAGTTGACAGGGTTCTTTTCTTCTTCTTGGGTGAGCTTCAATGCTCTTTCTTGCAGGACGATCATGGAGTAGACCCGATTTAGCGGAGCTAAAGGTACGGTGCTCAAAATATTTGACTGAATGCTTCCATACCCCTCGTTGTCAAGTCCCATCATAAATTGGTTCACCTTCTCATTCTCCTTTTGTATCTCAATTTGGCTGAGTGTGCCGCACTTACACCCGCGACACTTGGAGCATGTAGGCAATTTTTCCAACGTGCTAAGATCATCCCATATGCTCTTGAGTTTTCTAAATTATATGGGTATAGCCTGACCATTCTATTCGCAGTTTGCCAATTCCCTTTTAAGCTGGTTTATTCGTGGTCCATTCGAACACAGAACCACTCTTTGATGTCATTCCAGAGTTGGGTTGTTTCTTCTACTTGTGTGATAGAATTTTTGAGAGATGCATCTATGTTGTTAAAAATCCACAAAACCAACATGGCGTTCACGATCCACCATTCTTCAGCTTCTTCTTCGTCTTCTTTTGGGAGAGGAATGGATCCGTCAATGAATCCAATCTTCCTTTAGGCTCGTAGAGCTATTCGTACTGCCTAGGCCCATTCTTCATAGTTATCCATAGTTAATTTAATCTGGGTGATAATGAGAGCAGGAGTATGTGCAGATTTCAGCTCATATGGACTCACCTTTGTGAATTGCTTGTCTCGGTTTCTTCGTCTTCACCGACAACTCGGGAGAAGGAATTTTCAGTCTTCTCGACCTTCTCGTATGCCATGTCTATTCGATCTCAGGCGATGTGTGGTTCTGCCGACAGAGAGGTTTTGGACGACACAAGTCTCAGGAGATTTGCTCTGATACCATGATAAAAGTATTAGGGAGAGTTTATGTTTCTTTTCTCCAAAAAGTTCTGTCTTCATACAAAGAGCTCCTAACCTATTTATAGAAATAGAATCCAAATCTTAGAAGGAAACAAATAATACAAGAACAAAGCTAACTAGGAAATAGAGCAGACCGAATCTAAAAGGGATTCGGCCTTCCTTTGTGCGTGCTAGCCAAGTAGCTTCCGTAACAATATGGATGCCGCACGCCGAGTTCTTCGTTATTTGAAGGGACATCTGGGACAGGGCATATTCCTTCGTAGTGACAGTTTTCCTTACAGCTATCTGCTTATTGTGATTCAGACTGGGCCTCATGTCCTCTTACCCGAAGGTCTGTTAGTGGTTACTTCATTCTTCTAGGTGGGTCTCCTGTTTCGTGGAAAATAAAGAAACAGAGTACAACTTCGCACTCTTCTACTGAAGCCGAATATCGCTCAATGGCCAACGCTTGTGCAGAGGTGCGCTAGATTAGGGGACTTATTGGTGCTCTCGGCGTGACCCCACACACTACACCACGCCTGTTCTGTGATAACAAGTCGTCTCTCTTCATTGCTGCCAATCCGGTGTTCCATGAACGTATGAAGCACATTGATATTGATTGTCATATCGTCCGTGAATGTATTCAACGACGCGAGATTACAACAGCTTATGTACCCACTCGACTGCAACTGGCGGATTTGTTTACAAAAGCCTTGAATCACCCTTTGTTCTCTTTCCTATTATCCATGTTGGGCATTCGAGATCTTCATGCGCCAACTTGAGGGGGAGTATTAACAAATATATTTATTTGTATCCATTTTGTGTAGTGTACGGGCTTAGCCCAATAGCTGTAGACGTAGCCCGTGTATCTTGTATATATATCCGTTGTGATTATTGAAGGCAAGCAAGTTTTTACACAATTCTACACAAAACAAGATAAGAAAACAACAAAGTTCACCCCTTCCCCTCTAGAATTTGTATTCAACTTCGAGATGGTACTCATTGCAACATATTGAATTGAAAAGCATCGATCCTACTTCCCCCGTTCTAAAAAACACCTTCTCGTTCATTTTTTCCACTTCCAACAAAACACTTCCATTTTCTATTTAAAAAACTTCATTTACCCTTACTTTTTCTTATCTTATCAGTTATCACATCATAATTTATCTACAATAATCTATCTATTGCATCTTACTTTCAGAAATCACATCAAAGACAAAATTGGAAGTCAACTATAATACAACATTTTCCTATATTACCACTTCGTCAAAAATAGAACTCTTTTTAAGAAGAGAAGGAGAAATTTTTTGAAGAAATGGAAGAATAAGACTCCGACCAACCGAAACCGTTAACCATCTAAACCTCCTAACGGTTAAGAACAATATGTTGTAGGTCCGGGCGAAGGAGGTCAATATGCCCATACATGAATTAATACCCACACATGAATTAGTTGCAATTCAAGATTAATTATTACAGGGTTGATAAGATTGAAATTTATTTATTTTTAATTTTTTTTAACACAAACATTGTTTATTATTTATGTGCACTCCCATGTGTATTTTTACGCGCAATTGTCATTTCTCAAGAAAAACAAAATCTTTTCAGCTTTTTTTATTTTATTTTTTTTGTGCTATAGTTAGTGTGGGCATCATTAGTCTTTACAATTATTAATATTATATAAATACAGTCAAAATTAATAAAAATCCATTAGGGCCATTACCCTAATGTAGTGCCCTATATATATAGCCCTACGATTTGAGGTTCAAGTGCAACATAACATAACAACTTCTCTCTCTCTCTCTCTCTCTATTCTCTCTTAGTTCAAACATTTTTTTCCCACTCTTACAATTCCATTGTGTGCTTAATAAAACCTTTTTGAATACGAAGCTTTGGGAGAGATCAGAGTGACGATGTTGTCGGAGAAAGTGACGTCAAACTCCCATGGACAAGATTCATCGTATTTTTTGGGATGGGAAGAGTACGAGAAGAACCCCTACGATGAGATCAAAAATCCCAATGGAATTATCCAAATGGGACTAGCAGAAAATCAGGTTATTATTACTACATGCTAATAACTACTTTGACTCTTTCTTCTTTTTTTAAAAAGTTAAAAAAGAAAAACTAGAGTAAGAAATAAGAATGGAAATACATTTTACGTCGTGGACTTAAGGTGGTCCACGGTGCACATACAGATATGATATGATAGCAGTAAAAATTTTCTTACTATCGTCACCATGATGAGCATGTTTTAAATTTTATTTCTATTTTAAAGAAAAAATTATGTAAGAAGATACATATATACGGACTACAATTTTTTTGAATCTTAAATGAACCATTGAATCACTTATATGAATCTTATTTTCATAATAAGTATCTAACATCCTTGTCCCATGCAATACGAGAAATGTCTCCATTCCAATAATTTTCTTAGAATATTAAAATTTTATTTGAGCTTACAATCACAAATTTTAATTTTTGATATGATATCTTAATTAGTTTGAAGGTCAAGAGGTCATCCTGACTTTTAACCTCACCGTCAGATAATTTTAAATTTGTACATGTTTCACGTGCAAAGTTCGTTGCAACCAAATATGTCGTGTTAGTATGTTACAATAAAAAATCTTCACAAATTTAAAAGGGACAATGATAAATGCTCATTCATCATCTAACTCTTATATTTTTCATGACATTTCAAAGAATTTAGGTGATCCACTAGCTATGTGCAAAGTTGTACACCACACTTTTGTAGACATTAAAGTTTGGAGTGAGAGAAATCAAATAGGAAAAGAGAAAACATAATTTCAATTTAATCTCTCTTGTTTGGATAGAAAAAACGGGAGACCTTCCGATCGGTCTACGAGTACTCTTTGCTTTTCTTCTTTTCTTTTTCACAATTTCTTGATATATTTTCTCGATTTTTTACTCAATCAAATAACAATCAAACAAAAAAAGTAAGAAAAAAATTGTTACATAAATTCTTCTTTTTGCAAATTATGCTGGATCCATGGGTGTGCTTCCTCACTCTGTACATATCTTCTCTGAGAACAAGAAAATTCATATATTCCCGTTTTGAGCTAGTGATCGATCTAAGAGTTACATAAAATAGCTATAAAATAAGAACTCATAGGATTATATTATTTCATCAAATGACAGAAGAAAAAATGTAAATGAAAAAGAAATATTCAGCCACTTAAATAGTAACCGTATAGTACAAAATTAAATGTGAGGTAATAAGGAGTATTGTCCAACTTGGCGCATTCCAAATGTCGGGCACACAAAACATTTTTCGAAAGTTATGGAGTATACAAAGAAGTTAAAGCTAATTGACTTTGGTTAAATTATTCGAATTTATTACAAAATATTTTCTTCCTCTTAAATTAGCTTCTAATTCTACCAAAGAAATACTTCGAATTGAAAAGAGACAAGTCTTTCATTAATACATACTTCCTCCGTCTTAAATTAATTAATCCATTGCAGATTACAATAGTAGACTGAATTAATTTCACATTCAAATTATTTTACTAATACGTGGTACTCCATAGTATACAGTTTTAAAATAAAATCTATATGTAGTACCTCAATCCCATAAAAGTTCTCTACGGGATAATTTAGAAAAAAGTGGAATTTAATGAATGTATAATTTAGTATTATTTTTTAATTTTTCCCTTACTTTTACTCTTTCAACCACATTAATAATTAATTAAATTTTTATATACACGAACGATGATCTAATACATATGTTAATAAATAATAAGAATAAAATGAGTATTTTAATTGTACTAAAAGTGAAATTGAAAATAGAATTTTTTTTAATACATGAAAGTTGGAATTTCAATTTTCATCTATTAAAAAAAATTCTTGGGGGCGGGATTAAAAAGATTATGTTTAAAAAGATTAAAAAAGGTTTTTTTGGAGGGAGGGAATAAAAAGATTATGTTTAATACTCCCTCCGTCCACAAAACACTTCTTCTTTCATTTTTCATCCGTCCCAAAAAATACTTTTCTTTTCCTATTAAAAAGTCACTTTTACCCTTATTAATTCTTAACCTACCTATCACATCACACTTTTTCTCTATTAATCTATCTATCATATCATACTTTATCCATCACATCATAGGATATTTTTGGAAAGCCAATACTAAAATACACTCTTCTTAAATCCTTTAAAAGCCAAAATAAAAAGTTTTTTGCGGGACAGAGTGAGCAATAAATTGAGAAGATTAAGGGTGAGTTAATTATCACCGAGTACACTTCCTATGTTGGGAGATGGAGAAATGGGGAAACATATTATATTATATTATTTGTCAGTATGTGCCGTCCATATCTAGCTTGGATTGGATATCCTTTCTAACGTGAGCTTAATTAATTTTTATTTCTTACAATTATTTATTTATGTATGTGGATGCAGCTCTCCTTTGATCTTCTTGAATCGTGGCTAGCTCAAAACGCAGAGCCCGCAGCGCTGAAGAAAGACGGGATATCCATTTTCAAAGAACTTGCTCTCTTTCAAGATTATCATGGCCTCCCATCTTTCAAAAATGTATGTGTGTGTATATATATATATATATCCATACGCCATCACAAATATAATCATGCATCAATGTATATATATGCAGGCCTTGGTTCAATTCATGTCAGAAATCCGAGGAAACAAAGTCACCTTTGATTCAAACAAGCTCGTTCTCACCGCCGGAGCCACATCCGCTAATGAGACTCTCATGTTTTGCCTCGCCGACCCCGGGGACGCATTCCTCCTCCCTACTCCATACTATCCTGGGTAAGTTCAGGGGGAATTTACTTAAATAACACTAAAACATAATGACTTTCTCTAAATAGCACCACATGCGTTTTTCTTCCCAATGTAGCACTTTTAGTCATTATGCATTACTCATTATTCAAGTAAATATTTGCCATCACTGGACATTATTAAGTACTATTTAGGGAATAAAACAATTTAAGTGTTATTTAGAGAAATGACTTAAGTTTTTGTGATATTTTGTGCAAATATTTCGTGAGTTCATTTCCGAATGCCTTTTATTAGAAGATAAAAAACTTTTTTTTTACTTTTCTATACCTATAATAGCAAGCTTCTCTAACATGATATCGGATTTTTGTTGGCCAAGAGATCACGAGTTTGCAATTTCTCGTCACTTAGTTTTTTTAAAAAGTTAAGTTTTACGTGCTAGGCTCGAAGGGTTCCTTATTGACAGTTACCTAAGCCATTCTTTTTTCAATTTTATGTTGTTTTTATTTTGAGTATGGGACTCTAACTCTAAATATTATTTCTTATGACGTATAGTTTCGATAGAGACTTGAAGTGGAGAACCGGAGCGAAAATCGTGCCCATACAGTGCTGGAGCTCAAATGGATTTAGGATCACGGAGTCAGCGATTGAGGATGCGTATGATGAAGCGCGCAGGAAAAATCTAAGAGTCAAAGGGGTTCTCGTGACTAACCCATCAAATCCTTTAGGAACAACTTTGACCCGACAAGAGCTAAATCTCCTCATCCGCTTCATCGATGCCAAGGGCATCCATCTCATCAGTGATGAGATTTATTCCGGCACTGTCTTCGACTCGCCAGGCTTCGTGAGTGTCATGGAGGTTCTCACGGAGAGAAACTATGTCAACAGTGATGTTTGGGACCGCGTCCACATTGTTTATAGCCTATCTAAGGATCTCGGGCTCCCTGGTTTCCGGGTGGGAGCTATTTACTCCAACGACGAATTGGTCGTCTCCGCAGCGACGAAGATGTCGAGCTTTGGCCTTGTTTCGTCTCAAACTCAATACCTTTTGTCCGCTCTCCTCTCTGACAAGAAGTTCACAAAAAAATATGTCGCGAAAAACCAAAAGAGGCTTAAGAAGAGGCACGACATGCTTGTGAAAGGTCTTCGTGACGCAGGAATCAAATGCCTGGAAAGCAATGCCAGCCTGTTCTGTTGGGTTGACATGAGGCATCTTCTGAGCTCGAACACCTTACAAGCGGAAATCGAGCTCTGGAAGAAAATAGTGTACCAAGTAGGTCTCAACATCTCGCCCGGTTCTTCGTGCCACTGCACTGAACCGGGCTGGTTTAGAATTTGTTTTGCTAACATGGCAGAAGACACTCTGAAACTCGCAATGCGACGAGTCAAAATGTTCATTGACTCAACCGTTGCAGACAATGCCTCGGACCATAGCCCCAAACATTACTTGAGCAAGAATGCCAAAAGGAAAGGGTTTACGAAGTGGGTTTTCCGGCTTTCCTTCAATGACCGTCAAAGAGAGCGATAGCCATGCCACGCCCCGGCCGGTGGTAATTACATTGCATAATAAGGCTATCAAACACTTGAATGTTTTTTTTCTTTTTTTTTACTTTAATTATTTTTATTACAACCAAAAACCTATGAGGTGTTTATTTTACTCTAAGACCAAATGTACTTAGGTGTTGACTGTTTGAGCTCCTCGTATATATTATTGGTTGTATTTCTATAGATCATATATATATGCACTCGGTCCATGTTGGACGTGAAGTGGGACCCATAAGTAGTAGTTCTTGTTGAAAAATTGAGTACGGTGAAGAGTCAAAAATTAAAAGGGTATATGTGTAATCTCGATTATCACTTGTTGTATTCATAATTTTATCTAATAAATAATGCTCTTTTGTTTTTTGCAATAAACAATGCTCTTACATATTCCAAGATATATAATCCCGAGTACTAACTAGTCTTTTATGTTTATTTTTTGTATGGAACGGCAAAATGTGTCTTGTATCTTGCTTGTTTGCTTCAAAAAACATACACATTGGGATTATGAATAGTGTGTATTTGGACCTCTTTTCTTGATTAGTGACCAAATTCAATTTTTACACTACTCACACACTCAATATATGACACACGCCATATTGTAAACAAAAAGAATGATAAAATTTGTAAACAAAAATTCGCTGCATCTATGAGGAATCAAACTGTGTGCACTCTAAATGAATTAATTCAACCAACAAAATACAGTGGGAACATGACAAAACACATACTTTGACGAAATAACTACTTCATCCGTCCAATAATTTTTTTTATTCCGTGTTATGATGTTTGACTAAAATTCTTTTAAAATCATTTTATATGAAAAATGATGTAAAATTAAAAAATAAAAATTACATATTAAAAAACTACATCAAAAAATTTACTTCCTCCATCCCGAATTTTTTGACACACTTCGTACAATGTGTAAAATATCATCTCTTTTAAAATCATGTTTTACCAAGCATAGGGATTTTTCATATAGCTATGACTGTTTTGCTCCTAACCATCCAGGACCCAAAAGTGGTTGGATACCAAATTTTTATTTTTAGATGCCCATGAATGGTGTGCTTGAAGACTACAAATTTGTAGTGGATGCTCCAAGCACTTAGCCAAAGAGGTTGCATCAAAGGGGAGTCGTTACATTTTTTTAAAATGAATTTATATGAATTTATTTGGGAATTTATATAGGATGTTTTGCATATAGTAAGGGGGAATTTTTTGCTATATGTGTTAATCTTTTTGTATGCTTTATTCTTTTTAAGGAGAGATAGCATACTTTAAGGTGGAAGTATTTTATTTCCTAGAAATGCATGATTTTAGGGGGAATGTGATTTTTCTTAATTGTTTAGAATTTTTTTCTCTCCCCGGCCGGAATGCATGAGTTCTTTTGTTGCATTATTTTTGATAATGCCAAAAGGGGGAAGAGTATAGGAGTATATGCTTTAATTTTTTATTTGTTGGTAGCATATCCTCCATGTGTTTGTCATTATCAAAAAAGGGGAAATTGTTGGAATGCATGAGTTCAACCATTTCTGTGTTATTAAGTGTTGACTCACAGGTTTTGATAATTGACAAACACAATTTATTCAAGTCAAGATCAAAGTGCTACAACGACAAACACGAAGACTTGAAGTTCCATTCCTTGACGTATTCAAGAAGGTGCACAGAATTTTATTGAAGTCCGAGACGCGTTCGGAGCGCCTAACGGAGGACTCGGAGGAGTAGAAGATTTCCGAAGACTTTTTATTTATTTGAGTCTTAGAATTAATTGTAAGGATGACAAAAATATCTTCTCTCCAAAAATAATTTTATGAGAGTTAAAATAAAAATTATATTTATTTTTGGAGTCAGTTGAAAAATCTTTTAACTGTTCAAAATACTTTTATTGAGTCAGTTTCAAAAGGAGTGTCAAACATTTATCAAAATATTAATTTTAATATTATAAAATAATTTTGGTAAGCAAAAACTTTTTATTCAAATATTTTTCGTGTACATCGTTTGACACACAAAATATTTTTGAGACTCATTTTCTACACCAAATATTCTTTCTCATAATTCAAAATTGAATTTGAATTATTTTATTTGAATTGGGAGCCTCCTTATCCTAGGCATTATTGTTGCAATAATCGATTATTACCTCTGGAATTAATCGATTATCTCGTCCAGAAGGAACTAATCGATTAACACCTTTGGTTTTAATCGATTATCACTTTTATGCGCAGAAGGAATTTGGCTCTAGCAAATTTAATCGATTTTTGAAGCTGCTTTAATCAATTTTTTATGATGCATTAATCGATTATGGTGATGCATTAGTCGATTATTTTGTTGCATCTTTTCTGCACAGCTTCTTTTCCTGGACCAGCGGATATATTTTTCTTCACCTCCTATTTAAACACTCTTCCTTGGTCATTTTTAAGTACAAGAAGCACTCCTAAACTCCCCTATCTTGAGGTTATAATCCTCCATTCAATTCTTCCTCAAATTGATATATTTTGAGAGAAAACTAAGTATTTTCAAGAGAGTGTTTTGTCATCCATAGAGCTTTATTCATTTCTCATTTCTACTCTTTTGGGAGTTTATGTTGACAGGTTGAAGAAGATTGTTCTTCTTGTTTTTCAATGCTTATGTGACTTAAGTCTTGGTTGTGAAGTCTTGTAGAGAGCATATCTACGAGCGGTTGTGTCGAGACTTGTGGGATTCAAATTCTCGAGTTGTAAACGGTTTGTTAAGCACCCGTAAGCTTAACGGAAGTCGTGGTAGCTTCGAGAGAGTCTCTCGGGGAACTGGACTAGCCACGAGGTGGTGAACCAGTATACATCGGTGTGTTTTTTGCTTTCTCTCTTTTATTTCCGCTGCACTTACGTTTATATTATTAATCCTGCGAAAATCGTTAATCATTCTCAACAACTTTATTCACCCCGCTCTAGAGTTGCACTTTATTTCCCAATATAGGACTTTTGGTCATTAACAAGTAGTCATTATTCAAGTAAATGTCCACCATTACTAAACATTATCCTTCCCACTAGGTCATTATTAAGTCTTATTTAGGGAATAAAAAAGTTTAAGTCCTACATTGGGAAAGTCATTATGTTTTAGTCCTATTTAGTGCAAATTTTACATAGGGAGAACCTATAATTATTGGTGTGATGTAGTAAGTTTATTCATGAGTTAATTTTCTACTACGGAGTACATAGCATAAAAGAGTGGTTGGTAGTTTTTGTTATTTGCTAATTGTGTAACTTTGACACTTATCAGTAAATAAACACTATCTTCTTCCAACTTTTCTTTGATAGTCCGTATATTCGAATCTCTGATCAACGCATGTATTCGATCTTCGTAACAATGCAAATGAAAAGAATACATATTAGCATCTGTTGGAATTCTGGCGGGCCGAGAACAACAGATAGAGTGTTGGGTAAAATTAACCACTTGCACATAAAGTCGGGATCCACAATTCTAACCCAAAAGCTTAAGCTGATAGGTAGAGCTTCACCGTTCTATATATGCTACTGATACTCATCTTTATTTTCCAATGTGGGAACTCCAACACTCCCCCGCAAAGTGGTAACTAGCCTGGCCTAGTTAGCACTTGGATAAACGGGTCTAGCATCTCAATCTCTTATAGCTAGCCCACACAACGGGCGGTGGCATCTCAATCTTTTTTTAGCCAACTCAGCCCAAACCACAGATGGGTAGCTCATTTTTGCTAAACCACATCCAAACAACCAAGAACAATCAAACCCGGACCGGACCTGCTCTGATACCATGTTGAAATTCCGGCGGGCCAAGAACAACAGATAGAGTGTCGGGTAAAATTAACCACTTGCACATAAAGTCGGGATCCACAATTCTAACCCAAAAGCTTAAGCTGATAGGTAGGGCTTCACCGTTCTATATATGCTAGTGATACTCATCTTTATTTTCCAATGTGGGAACTCCAACAGCATCATTACCATGTTGTGAATGAATACGTATTTCAGGCTATTAATTTTAATGAAACAACTAACATCTAAATTATGAAAAAATACATCCAAGGATTCGGGTCTCCTAGAATTGGCGGGGACATGATAGCCGTACTCTTATCACTCTTAATTTAAGCATCAAAATTGAGGACCTCTCATCAATATTTTTTGCGGCCGTTAACAACCACATGTTACTCGAAAGCTAGAATTGAACACTTATATACTCTCTCTGGTCCTAAAAACCATTCCTGTTTTCACTTTTTTTAGCCAAACAGTGACACTAGCTTTGATCACAAATTAAACATACATAATCTAAATAAATAAATGATATGAAAATTCGATCGTAGTCAAAGTATGTCACTATTTGGCCAAAAAAAGTCAAAAGAAGAAAGGTTTAAGGAACGGAGGGAGTAATATATACTCCGTAATATATAATATAATACTCCCTTCGTCCCTAAATATTTGCCACACTTGTATTCTCGAGGAAAAATATCAAGTTTTTTCAATTCTTTCTATTTACATATGGGTATAGAAATAAAAAAATAAAAATTACATATCAAAAAACTACGTGAAAAATAATTCGAAATAATAGGTATCAAGAATATTTTATTTTATCAAATAACCAATGAAAACGTAGAAATAAACAAATGTTCCCGCAACTATTGAAAAAACAAGTGTGGCAAATATTTTGGGACGGAGGGAGTAAGAACTTAATAAGAATTTTAAAACTCAAAACGCAGTTCAAAGAAGGTAATTACGAAAAGAGTTTGAGAATGTCCGTATTTATAGTAGGAAAAATTCAATTTCTTTTTCTATTTTGGATTTTGTAAGTTTTTTTTATTTTCGGAATCAACCTAGAACCTATTTGGGAATAGCGTTAGAGATTAACGTTAGCGTTTTGAAAATTAAAGGCAATTTACGGACATCGTTTAGCATTAGCATTTTCAAAGTAATCTGTCCCGTTAAAATTTTATCTAAAACGCTAATTTTTTTTAATAATTTATCTTATTCCTATACTTTATTGACTTATAATAATTATATGTAAGGTGGAAGTTGGATAAAATCAACGAAAAAAATAAGAGTAAAT